TTCTTGAAGAGAGGACAAAGTTTGTATGTAGATGCAAATCTGTAGCTGTAAAATATGTTTTTATTTATTTATTTATTTAAATTACTAAAATAGGGACAGACCGAAAAAACTGTATCTGGAGCTGATTTCTCTCAATTGTTTTTCTAAGTGTTTAGTTTTCACTTTGGACCCAGCTGTTGAATTATACATTTTCTAAATAACAGCATTATTTTAAACAGCCTGTCTGGAGTTCTGGAGAGTAGGGGCAAGGAAGAAAAGTTTGAAATGCATATCTGAGGATAAGGATAGCTAATTAAAAAAAATTCATCTAACAAATATGCATAAATAAAATAACTGGAGGGGAGAAAAATCACAGAAGCCACAAAATATGCAAAAGGAAAGATAGACCATATCATTCACTGCTCCTTTAGGAATCTTGATTAATAATAGAAGCACAATAGTAAAGAACTTAAGTTTTAACATACTTATTTCTTGACTTTCTGCCAACAGAGATTTAGTGACACAAACCTACCATCTTGCAGAAATCTCTAGAGATGAAAAGACTATAGATGTGCCTAAAATGGCCTAGATTAATATGATGACACTTCAAAAGCACAAGTTGGAACATTACCCATTTCATCTTGAGCTGTGAATAATTCATCATTTTAAAACATGGGGTTTTTAAAACTTAGATGCAGATTTAGATGCATAATTATTGAATTTCCTTTGATCCACATTGTTTGTTTAATCAGTTACCTAACATTAGGAAGTATGCTTTGTAATTATTGTAATTTGAGTTATCTTATATAATAGAAAAGAGAAAAAAAGACTTGAATACCGTATTAAAGCATTGATAGCCATTTGACAAATCTTTTCAGCAGTTCTGAGTATAAAGGCTTAGCATTTCCTAAGACAGAGGATAACTAGAGGTTAGGTATTGATGATACGATTCAGTGCAGTATTCTAACTTTGATTATAAGTTTTTCTAGAATAATAGAAACTACAGGTATAACAAAATGTACAGGTATCACATTTTCATGAAGTTCCTGTTTTTTTCTTGTACAGTATATCTTGTTCTAATTCTGTTATATATGCTAAACGTATACTCTTATACTTGAAATATTTAAGATACAACTTAAGCCAATTAAACATAGTAAATAATCCTTTTGTGTTGTTATCCCACACTTCTGCCAGCCATACAATGGAAGGTGGCTTCTAGCCCAGATAAACTATTTATAGTAGAAGGGGCTTTAAGTAGGCTTAATTACAACCTAAGATTGTCCCAAACGGATCTGTTTCACAACACACGGTTCCCTGTCTTTAAGTGTAAGGCAAGACTAAAACTTGGAAAAGTTTCCTACTACTGAGCACAAAACAAAGCTATCTTTGAAACTTTTCCAGTGCTCAATAGGAGCTCCATGCGACAAGTAGCAGTGTTCACCGCTGTGCTTTCCAAGCTGTCTGCTGGTCTTAGGAAAGATGGTTATAAACCTGTATCCTTCTGCATCTCAGCCAGCCAACACACAAGGGATGGTACCCTAGGAACCCTGCTTGTTTACATGCATATGTAAAGACCATGGAGAGCAACAAAATCAGAATGAATCAAAGGAAATTATATTTATAGCATACTTGTGTACCTTAAGTAAAGGCTAACAATAAATGTTTGTCCCACTGGTATTTAAAAGGTGTCCTCCTGAAATCATCTGAAAAAGATCCATCTACACACACCAGAGTTCAGAAGAGGTATTCTACCTTTTCTCAGTCAGGGCTGTTTTGGGGAGTGTTAATTAATTAATGTTTTGGGGAGTGTTAATTAATAAGAATGTCTGAAACAGCATTCTTGATGCTAAACTGACTCTGAAAGACATGAAACTATCCTGAAGAATGCATCTGCAGTGGTCTCAACTTTTGGCAAAACACAAAAAAAATGCTATTATTCCTCAACCCATGAAAACCTCATGGTTCAAACTCAGCTGTTTTAACAGAGACACTCCTCTTACATTTTAGAAAAACTATCAACATCTCTGAAATTCTGCCCTGTTGAAGTCTGTCAGTTTTTAAAAAGTTTATAACATAACTGAGATTTCATCTGAGGCTCCTGACTGAACACTCAGAGTAATTATAGTCTCTTCACTGATTTCAATGTATTTAGAGCTGTAATAGTACAAACCATATTCTAGTAGCAATGTGTGAACCTCAACAGATTGAATAAAAACAGAACAATTTTCTATTAGTCAATATAAAAATGTATGCAATCTCTGCATAAGACAGAAGGTAATAACAAGGCAAGCATACAGTGGAACACTCTTTTATATCCTCCAGAATGGAAACCAGCAGCTCTCTCCATTACATACCAGCCTACCTGTTTTTCTTTGTTTGTTTGTTTCTTTTCCATCAGCATGTGTAATAGCTTTTTTGAACCCAACTATTGGCATCCACAGCATCCTGCAGAGAAGCAGTGGGAATTAAGTGGAAAAAAAATTTCTTGGCCTTAGTTTTTTACCTTGATGTTTGAGTGTTTTATTTGCTATTCCACATGTACTGAGAAAGGGAGTAATACTCCCTACCCATATGATATAGCAAATGTCATGTAGGATATCTAGAATATCTCCCTTACATCAACTCTTTTCAGGCAAAAGATTTAAATGCAGTTAGTCTCTCCTTACACAGAAGCTTCTTAATCACCCTCACTATCTGTCTTATTGCTTGTTTTATTTCCTCTGTAGCCTGAGTGGGAGTAACTGCAAAGTTGCACGTATTGTTCAAGATGCAGGTGTGCTGTGGATTTGAATAGTGGCACAATCATATTTCCTGCTTACTTCCTTACTCCTTTCCTACTACTTCCTACCACCCTATTTTTACTTTTTTACCACAATTGAGTACTAGGGTGATGTTTCCAGGGCACTAGATGCAATTAGTCCCAGATTCCTTCCTTTAATGGTGAACTAATTTAGAGATATTTGGAATGTATGTATATTTAGGGTTATTATTCCCTGAAAGCTCAATTGGTTTTTATCAACAACAAGTTTCCTCTGTCACTTTATTTCCCAGTCACTTGCTGATGTAAGATTCCTCTTTCACAGCTGGATTCCTGTTCAACTAGAGTGAATAATTTTCTCTCATCAGCAAGTTTTGCCACCTCACTTTTCATCTTTTTTTTTTTTTTTTTTTTTTTCCAGAAGACCAACAGACGTGCAGAAAAGCACAATCTCCACACAGATCCCTGTGGGGTGTCACCGATGCCTTCCCTCCCCTTCAAATTTGTTCTAACCCTCTGCTTCCTCTCCACAAACCAGATATTAAGCCAGGAAAGGAACTTCTCTTTTATTCCATGATAAATTTTTATTTCAAAAAAAGTGTTTAATGAGGAACTTCAGTCAAAAGCTTTTTGAAGGCCTAAATATAGGTATCTGAATTTTTTATATATAAATATCAGCTGACTCTTATTAACAACCTCCATCAAACTGATAAATTTGCACCTCAAGGCTTCTTTTACAATCTGCATTAACTGCTCCTCTATATGCTTAACAACACACTCAAATTTTAACATTTATACTAGGATTTTATTTTTTAAACACTAGTTTGCCTGGGATGGAGGTAAGATTTACTATTATATAATTCTTGATTTTGTTCTTTCTTTTTAAAGTGGTATCACTTATGCCTTTTTCTATTTCTCAGCATGAGACCTTAGCACCTGCCCACCTGTCTGCTTGCCCTGCTATGGATAAACCCACTGCCCCTTGTGCCATCAATGAGGTATCAATGAGGTCAGTGATAATTGCAGTCATTGACAGGAAAACCTGCAATTCCTTCGGCTCTAGCCAAGTGAGGTACCTCCAAGCACCCGGCATTCCCTCTAGCGGCACAGTTTGGCCACAGAAGGACGCCCTTTTACTGAGGCTTCTGCACTATTCAGCAGCCTCATGCTGCCTCCCTCCTCCCCAGCCCCCAGGAATTTTGGCTCAAAACTTCCTCCAGAGGTTTGGCTTAAATTCCTCACTCTTAACGATGGCATTGTGTTATCCAAACAGACATAAACAGGATAAGCCTCAAACAGTTAGTACAGAAGTTGCTGAGACCTTCAGGCAAAATTCATGTTCCTGGCATCCAATTCTGTTATATAAAATAATAATAATAAAAAGTAATAAAGGAATGCCAAGACAAGCTGCCTCCTCAGGCCAACCTGCTTGTGTCATTCCTTCTCCTCAAAACCCGTCACCCCCAAATCCCTGCTTTCCTACCACCCTCAGGAGGGCACAGCCATTTCATAGCACCCTAAAGGCTCTCTTCTTAAAGCCAGGGTCCACAAAAAATGCTTTACTAGTTGGCATTCTGCTGACTTAATTCATTTTCAAAGGTAAGGTAATGATATTCCTGAGCATGGTGTTTAGAGTAAGGATATACAAAAGACCAAAAAAAAAAAAAAAAAAAAAAAGCTAAGTAGCAGACCCTCTAGATGAGGACTGAACCAAATATAGAAATTTCTTGTTTGGAGTCAGTCCCCATATAACATAGATTACACATACAGAGTTGCCTTTGTGATTTCAAGACTTCACTGCAAATATTGTGAGTTAAGACAAAAAACAGACTGATAATGTATTTGAGAAAACTATGCAGCCTCTGATGTATTTTGGAAAATTTCTTCAAATAGGATGGGGACAAGACCCAAATCCTGTTGAGAAAACTATTTTGTGCTGCTTATAAAGAAGAGTTTTATAGTTTAAGAGTTTTAGCCCTGAAAATCAGGCTTCATGAGCAACCAAAGATCCCTAGGAAAACATTCAAAGTCTTGCTTGGAAGAGTTGCTTGTTATTCTTACTAGCTTTTGTAAGGATCAGCTCAAAACAGCAACAGGCCTTTTCTACTGGATTATGACTGGACTTCAGCTAGAAAAAATACACTTGGGCAAGTTACATCACCTAAGTTGTCCACCAGCCACTTCTGTTCACTTTTTTTTCTACCCAGCTTTGAACATGTTGTTCAATATCCAAATGCACAAAGATGGGTTCTCTACTAATGCATGAGGTATACTTTTTATTATTACAATATTATCAAACATCTATGCAAAACATTTTAAGAATAATGAGCAGATTTAATGCACTGTAACTTGTATTTAAGATCAAGAGAGGCGCAACAGTTGTTACAGAGGAGAGCTTCTAAAACAAGGCAAAATAAAAAATTACAAAGGGAGAACAGAAAATAATCTCGGTAGTATGGCAGCCAAAGACAGATAAAGAAGAACAGCCATCACAGTGTGATATATAAGATGCTTATTACTCATGTCTATGAGCAATAATAGCTTTGCATATTTATTAATTCTTGTATTACAATGCTGACAATAAAGTGTGGTCTTTCTCATGAAATGTTAGATATAAGAAAAAACAGGTAGAATAAATCAGTTTAGGCTCAGTACATGACTAGAAACAGTGTGTCATCACTAAATAAATTAGTGGTTGAGGGATATTAATTTATCTTCCTGCACAATTCTCTGTTGTGTTTGTGTCACATTAATTCCTCATCTGGACAGGTGAGTAGCTGGAGCTCTAAGGGAATTATATAACCCCCCAAATGTCACATATACAAGGGTGTGCACTGATGAGCAGAAAAGTTTTAAGTGAATGTTTACTTCCCCTGAAAACATATTATGGCACAAATCATACTGAGACTGGGAGGATGTACCAGCATGGATCTCTGATGTCTAATCGCACCCTACTAGTACTTCCCTCTGTCCTCATCTCTGAATGACAAGCCCCTTGTATTCTTCCCTATAACATTTCAGCTTTGGAACAGAGATCTCTTAAGCATCAGCATTAGGGACCAGTGCACATAAACACCAAAAAGCACAACAGCTTAAAACTCCACCCTTGAATCATTTGTAATTGACTGCGCCCTCTCTCCATGCACACATGCTTGTCTTTCTTACTTAGATTTGTACCACCTCCTCTTTTCCAAATTGCCTCACATAATCCTCTGCACACCTTTGGTCAACAGAAGTTATGTTGTCTCCTCATTTTTCTTTCATATTTTCTGGGGCCAGACCAACAGATCACCCCTACCAAGTTTCCTCCAATACCAAACTTTTCCACTTTAAGAATCTTCAACTAAAATCCTGGACCTCTGAAGACATCCTAAGCTGGCCTATTTGACTTGAAACCCAAATGAGCAATTGGTTGTCACCTCTCTTCTCTATCCAAGGTATTGCTCATTAGTAAATCCTTCAGGTTCACCAACCAGTACAAATTTATACATACATACACTGCATAAGGCACATGTACATATCCTGATAAAAGGTATGCTGAGAGAAGATGCATAAAAAAGGACATTTGTACCAAGTGTAGGTAAGATCACAGGTTCAAAACTAAGTCATATATACATACTCCAAATGTATATTACATATATTTCCAGAACACATTTTTGACCATAAGTTGTACATAAGATCCCATGATTTAAGGGAGGAGGTTGGATCAAGTGACCTTTATAGAATAATTTAGGTTGCAAGTAGCCTCTAATTTCAAGAAATTTTATTTGTGCCAAACATTACAGATATAAACTTCTGAAATTTTGGCTCCTTCTGATGTAAAGCAACAGAACAAAATCTTCCTGCTTCAGCTTTTGTACAGAATTATATACACCTCCATATTCCTTGGAACCAAGTCTATAGAAATTAATTCAAAATTTTTTCCTTTCAATCTTTGAACACGAAACACTTCTGATGAGGAAGCCTAGCTTTATTAAAACTCAACCTGCAGTATAAATGATTGAAACTGAATGATTGAGCAAAGCTGTCATGCGAATTAGATATAATTAATGAAGAGTCTTCCTTTTAACCCTTGTCCTGTCCTGCTTTTGCAGGAAGCTACATATCAAGGCAGCCAGCCATATCCAATATTTTGCCATATCAGATTTTTACAACCACATTAGTGCAACCCATGCATTCGCTGCATACTACCCTTCCTCAGGCCAAGAGAAGTTTATAATACTTTTGCTTGGCCACAGGTTGGCAAGTCTGTAATTAGCCAGCCAAATAATAAAAATTCAACAATTCAAACAATTAAAATAATGGAAGAAAGCCAAACGTCAAAGCTGAATATCATACATGTATTCAATGAACTATAGTTGTTTAATATATCCAAGTTAAAAGTGAGGCACATTCTGGCTACAATCACACTGGCACTCCCATCTGCCAAGGTATTCCCTGCCAACCCTTGTCCCCATCCCTTGACATACAAACAAATCTAGTCCAGTCTGTGGAGTCAATTCCCGTCAGGAGTTTGTTCTACTCTGGTAAACACAATCATGCAAGCAGAGACAGGTGTGGTGGTACTCAGGGCAGCAGAAATGAAGGAAGGAGACCAGTTTATAGATCAAAGTTGGCACAAGGAAGCAATCTTCAGCCCTGGGCTGAAAGCTGAAAGTTGTTGGCCTCTTCTCAAGGTTACTCACTGAGGCTGAGAGATTCCTTACCTGTGACAGAAACTCAGTAAGTGACTAATAGCTAGCTTGTTGAAACTTTGCAAGTGATTTGTTAAGTATGCTGAAACTTTGTAATCTTAGCTAAGTGATGTAGAGGACTGTTTATGCATATAATCCTTTAGGCATAGACTGTTAAATCTGGGATTGGAATAGGGTCCAGTCACATCTAGACTCCTCTGAGTTTGGACAGCAAAAAGGACTCCATTCTGAACATTATGAAACGAGGGTCTCCCCGGCACTTTTAGTCTGACCTAAGCAGTAAATAATCAAGTGATCTTGTATCAATATTCTTGTTAATGTCACATTTACCAGTAGAACTTTATTAAATCACTTTCTCATTCACTAAGACTGGCCCTGCTCAATCTTTATTTTCATGAATAAATATATTGCTGTTTCCATCTTCTGAGTGAAATGCATAATTATTTTTGTGACACTGCTGAACCTGATGCTGACACAAATAACCATTGTACAAGCTGCTGAGACACATGTCCACTTCTGTTTTCTCACTGCTTCCCCAGCCACTCAGGACTCTGCATAACTTTATCAGACTTAATACAATGTGTTTGGAGAAGGTTATATCTGCCTCTCACCTACGTAGCCACAAAGGGCTGAGTCTGTTACCATCACTCACATAAGCAATATTTATGCTAAAAGAGTCTGAGTAAATTCTTACTCTAGTTATGGTTTATTTCCGTACAGAAGCCACTCAAGAAGCAGTATTTCCTGCATATGGAACTATTTATGTAGTAGTTCTAACATTCCTTACATGCCTGAGAGAAGAATATATTCCCACCAGATGCTTAAGTTTCATATGTGCCCATCTCATCGTTACTCTTCTAGAAGCTACTGTTCTACATGTTAAACATTCCACAGTTCAGAGCTACAAACTTCCTAATGAGTCAGCTGAATGAGTTGGATACTACTGTTACCTGGCTTGCTTTTAAAGAAAAAGGGTGTATAAGTGTTGTTGAGTGATTTCAAAGTTACCTGAGGACAAAAAGAATGAGAAAATAATTCTTCAAAATTAATCTTACAGGTAACTAACATGTGAAGATGTATTTTGCAAGCACACATACTGCTCGCAGCTACGTGCACAGTGCTCACTGTGTGCATTGTTGTAGAACTAGTTACAGTAAAGCTTACTATACATATCTTTATGTTTTTCTGTTGATAGTTTATGCATTGAAATACTGTACCTGAAAAATATAATGTAGTAAAATTAGTTTGACCTGCTAAATACTTTAAAGTAATTAAAAGAGAAGAGCACATGCCTGCCTATCCATTTATGTTTTTGCACATAATTTGTAATATGACATGCAAAGAAGCATTTAGATATTTATGTTTTAAAAACAAGTTCATAATAGTTAATGTATATGTGTTTTGTCTATAGTTGGAAAAAAAAAAATCTCTACACTGATTAGCCCTTTATATTATTGCAAATGCACATAGGATCCTACTTGTGCTTTTTACAATACCAATGTATGGCCTTTACCCAGCAATATGCATCTTCTGCAATTTCAAGTGAATTTAGGAAGACTTTGGAATGAAAACTTAAGGTGACAAAGCATGAAAAAATATATAAAATTTCTTGTGGAAATAATGCAACTCCAGTGAAACTGTTGACCAAGAGGTCTGAAAAAAAAAAAAGACAATTTTTTTCTTTTCTTGCCTTACAATAGCTTCTGCTCTGAAGCATACATGAAGACAACATGGGCTTTATTCACTGCAATGAATGAAGACCACTCAGATGTAGCTTGTTCAGCTCTTCACCTGACTGCTTGCCACGCACCCCATTTTAGAGCCACCCTCCACTCTTCAGTGGGTCTATCCCAATGAGGACCTGGAGGCACTGGAAGAGCTGGTGCAATTGTCACAGAATCCAGAAGTTTGTTATCTGCAAGGAAATTGATTAGAGCTTCACATCCATGGTAGAACTAGGAATAAAACCAACATCTTGATTGCCATACTAGTGATACCAACTTTCACCTCCTACTCCCCAGGTCTGGAAAGAATAAAATTATCACAGTAGGTAAATGCTAACTTTACATCGTGTCAGATAGGCCAAGGGGAAACAATCAAAAACAACAAAAAGAAAAAAAATATGAAACAGGAAACACATAGAATTCTTGCTGAGCCCAGACTCAAATTAAAATAAAGGATTTTGACACATCACTGCCAGTACACAGCAAGATGGTTTTACCCTAATGACAAGTACTCTAGCTTTTGGAATTCAACATTGAATAGGATGAACTTAACCCATTTCTGAAGCTATACTGACAGCCATACTGTATCTACATTAAACATTTCCAATCTGAAATATATATATATTCTAACACTCTGTGCAAAAAGACTCATTTTCCCCATCATTTGTATTTCATTAGCATAAGGTGAAAATGTTTCCATAGAAACAGCAGAGAGATATAATTTCTAAATAATTATTACTCCACAAAGAACTCAAAAAAAATCATTTTCACATTACAGTGTAAAATCCCCAGATAGTTAACTAATATTACAGAGAAGATATATGTAAAGACTTTGAACTTTAAATTGTTACTCCAAATTTTTAACAATAAATTGGGTAGCTTAATATTTAAATAATATGAAAGAAAAATAGAGGAAGTCAAAGACTATGTTAAGTGTAATTTCATTATACATGTGTTCAACAATAAAAATCAATGTGAAACCATCATACATTACACTAACATTTATTTGTATATGTTCAGATCATGGCAAATATTTCCCTTTGTTTTCTGTTTTGACTGTTGTGTTTTACACCTACTTATCTCTGTAGTCTCAAGATAAGATGATGCATTAAACAAATTGCTTGCTATTCCATCACCCAGTCACTTGGGCAGCACGTCCAATAAAATGCTAACAACTACTTAATTGTGTATGATAACTATTAAAAATCAAATCTCTCAGCTAGGCTTTAAAATGGACTGGGAAAACATCACATCCAGGTAGGATAAATTACAAGACAAGCATTTCTTTGAATCCTACTGTCAAAGAGGAAAGTAAAAACGAGCAGGGGAAAAAAGAAACAAAACAAAGAAAACAAAACAAAAACAAACAAACAAAACAGGAGAAGAGGTGCTCAAGAAAATGATATATTCCTAGGCTAGACAGAAAATCTCAAAGAACTTTGAGGCTGGAGAGCAGGTAGGGATTTCTTCTGTCTTTCAGGTATCACACCTTTCTTCTGTTATTTAGTTATAAAACATAATTGAGTTAGAACTCCTTTTATGGTGCTGTAACATTGTTTGATGATCATTTTCTTCAGGGATAAAATGATTTCTATGATTTAGATGTTATGCTCAGAGAGAAACAAAACCATATACACAAAGTATTTGTTGTGTGAGTAAAACAATAGGAACAGCACAGATGAGTTTAGTGAACTGGTGTCAAATGCAGGAGACAGTCAGTTGGAGGTGGAGCTGTTGGTGTAGTCCAGAAGCAGTAAAGATAGAGGAGGAGACTGGGGAGATAAAATAAATAAATAATAAATAAATAAATAATAATAATAACAATAATAATAAAAACAAGCAGAATGAAACATCAGGCAGATCTCCCAAACAAGCCCTCAGAGTGTCTCTGATCAGAAACATAATACATTTGAGATAAGTTTGTCTTTTTCTCTCAAAAAAATCAATTTTGAACACTGAGTCCACTGGATAATGTTTAGATATGTTTTCTGCAAATTAAAATGAACATATACTTTAAACTATTATAATATAACTGAAAAAAAATGGTCTAAAAGCACAGGTTAAGGTACAGTTTATTGAACAGATGATTTCCAAATAAATGAAGAAAGAACACTTGCAAGATGAGGATGACCATGTGGTTTAAGAACATTATTCAAAGAAACTGTAAAGTAGTACAGTCTATTTAAAAAGCGTGCACTAAGGCCACAGGCTCCCAAAGGGAGTTAAACAGTCAATATTACAAGGAACTACTGTTAACAGAAGCTTCCTTTGAGCATGAGTAAAAATAAGGGTGCTATTTACCCACATTAAAAAGCTTTCTTGCACAGTTGCTTGAATAAGCCCAGCAGCTGTGCATGTGAGAAAATAGCATGAAGTGGGTCCAGCACATGGCTCACAGGTCAGAAAACCCCACAGCATCCTGGTCACCATCAGGTGCTCAGTACATGCAATGTTGTTGTGTGCCACACTCACATTCTGGCCCTCTGAAAAAAAAAACCAAAAAACAAACAAAACAAACAAACAAACAAACAAACAAAAAAACAACAAAAAAAAACAGCCAGCTGCAATAACTAAATACGTTTCCCTGGAGATAGTAGGTGCAGTATTTGGGCTTAGACCCTTCCTGTCCTGTTCTCTCTTTAGGTGTTAAAAAAAAAATAAAATGCACAAAAGCTTAGTTTTCTTAAACTGTTGATAAAGTCTATATTTCCAGACCAATGCCTCTTTCATGAACTACATTCATCATGAGCTTCCTTGGTTTAATAACTTGGTTTATCCTTCATCCCAGATCCCTAACAAAGGCTGTGAAAATTGAACTGTCTAGGTTAAAACTATACGTGCCTTGCAAGTCAAATTTGAGAACAAAAACCATTCAAAGGGTATAATTAAATCCACTAGGACTTGTTCTATGAAACAACAGCCTGTCAGCAGATAGCTCACCAATTATTAATAAGTATGTGGTCCTAAAACATAAGACTTACCACCCACCATATTATTCAATATTTTTTAGATCTGAAGATTTCAATTCTTTTAGATAAAACCAAATAGCCATATTTATCATGATGTATTAAAAGTCAGAAGGTGACAGGTCAGATCAGTAAGTTGCAGCATGTGTTCTCCTGAAACATTTTTCAACATATCCCCCATTTAAATCTATATTCATCTTCAATTTTGTGAGAAATGAGTTCAGTACACATCCCAGGCTCCGCAGAAAGGAAAGAAGTTCTCTTCTAGCATCAGGTATACGCAACACTCCCCACCACCAAATGGCTTTCACTGTGAAATACTATCATAGCTCCCATCCTGATTTAAGATAACTGACACTGACTTCAACCTCAATAGCATGGATGTTTCCATTTGAGTCAGGATGAACAATTTCCCTCATCCTTGTCACTCCACAGTTCTTCAACGGTTTGACCAGATGCATGGTGACAAAAAACTTAGAGGGCCACAGAGTCAGGTAGCTACTATAGCATCTCAGATGACAACGTCTCTATAAAGGAACATCTATCCTAGACTGATATGCCCTACTTTCACACTTGTGTACTGGTGGAAGAACACTTCAGTTCCACTGTAGTAGGACTTTTGGCATAGAAACATATTTTACTTACTTTATTCCTAGGAAAATGAAGCTTACATTCCAGAATTCTTAACTGTAATTATTATTTTTACTGTTGCAATGGTGATTTTTGCAGGCAATAACCATCAATGAATATGCAAGTTTTAATTATATACTATAGCATATTAAATCAACACTCCACATGCAGTAAAATGGCTAAGGGCAGGATATTCATAACCTGTCCTTCAAGGACTTATGGATTTGTTTCTACACATTTTGGAATATTTTATAAGCCCATACTTTTGTATGTTCGTTGTTGTTGTTTTGTTTTTAAGTTGTCGTTTATTTTTTTCCCTCCTGGCAAAGCTGTTTTTTAGTACAGTAAGTTATGATTAAGTACATGCAGCTGGAATGTTTATTACATGCTTGCACCTGCATGTTGAGTAATAAGGTCCAGGAGATTTGATAAACCCACAGAAATCACACACAAAGAAAGAAGGAGAGTAGACTGGAGAACAGCCTGCTAAAGAGGGTGTGACCACATGCTTGTCTTCCAAAGGAGAGGGGGCAGAACCACATGAACATGTAGTAATGGCTTAAATATGAATATTCTTTTATTTCTGTTAGTCTGTATTTACACCTCTGTCATAGTTCCGCCCGAGTGGGCAGCCGAGCTCTACCACAGCCGCTCTCTCACTCCTCCTCCTCAAAGAGGAATGGGGAGAAAATATGTGAAAAGGGCTCAAAGGTTGAGATAAGGACAAGAAGATCATGCAGTAATTATTGTAACAGGCAAAACAGACTTGGCATAGAGAGATAGTAAGATTTATTGCTTATTACTAACAAGCTAGAGAAGTGAGAAACAAAGGAAAGAAACCAAAAGCACCTTCCCCCCCCATCCACCCTCTTCCACCTCCTCCCCCCGAGCAGCACAGGGGAATGGGGGTTATGGTCAGTCTACAGCACTTCTCTGCCGCTCCTTCTCGGTCACTCTCGTCCCCTGTGCTATGGGGTCCCTCCCATGGGATACAGTCCTTGATGAACTGATCCAGCGTGGGCTTCCCACAGACAGCAGCTCTTCCAGAACTGCTCCAGATATGGGTCCATACCACAGGGTCCATCCCTCAGGAGAAAACTGCTCCAACCTGGCTCCCCTACGGGCAGCAGCTCCTGCCAGGTCACCTACTCCTGCATGGGCTCCTCTCCACGGGCCACAGGTCCAGCCTGGAATCTGCTCTAGCAGGGGTCTTCCACAGGCGGCAGCCTCCGTCGGTGCAGGTCCACCTGCTCCACCATGGTCTCCTCCACGGGCTGCAGCGTGGAACCCTGCTCCACCGTGGTACTCCATGGGCTGCAGGGGGACATCCTGCTTCACCATGGTCCTCACCACAGGACGCTGGAGAACCTCTCCCCCTCCTTCTGCACTGACCTTGGTGCCTGCAAGGCTGTTCCTCACTCCTCTCACTCTCCCAGCTGCTGTGTGGTGCAGTGTTTTTTTTTTTTTTCCCCCTGACTTAAATATGCTCTCACAGAGGCACAAAACAACATCGCTTATTGGCTCAGGTCAACAGTGGGGCCCTTACCAAACATGGGGCAGCTTCTAGATCCTTCTTACAGAAACCACCCCCATGGCCCCCTGCTACCAAAACTTTGCCACGTAAACCCACTACAACCTCCAATGTTATTTAAACATGAAGTAAAAAAATATTTTTGTGTTTCTTGTTAGCAAGAAGTCTTCCAAAGGTGGTTATCTGAAAATGCACAGTGTTACCTTAGGCACCATAACGTCCGTATTAATCTATCAAGAGAGCTCTTTGGAGGACTGTTTTATGATTATGTAAGACAGTTTTGAACATCTTCATGAGATAATAAAGAAAGTGGGAAAACCTGATGTTACTAAGTTCTCAAAAATTAGCACATTTATATTGTTTTGAGTAAAACCTGACTATTTCCTTAATTATAGAGGAATGATGATACATAGTCAGAGAAATACACTGTTTCACAATATTGTGAAACAAAATTTTACAATGGCTGCTGTGAATGGCTGAATGGCTGTTTCACAAAATTGTGAAAGCCATATAAAATGTGTTAGAATACCACATTTCTCTCTTAAATATAAGGAAAATTGAAGGGAAAAATTAAAAACAGTACATTTTACCTCACAATTAGCACTTAACAAACCACTTCACTATGTGTAGTTAGTAACCAGATGGAGGAGCCAAGAGCCTGCTATTTTAACAGGCAGGCAAAAATAAATAAATATATAAATCTATGAGCTATGGGAACAAAATAAGAAAATAAGAGAACCAAGTAATTTGAATGCATTGTTCTTATCTGTGTTTTGATGTTCAAGACCAAATTAATATTCTGTTCCTGTATGAGCCATTCCTGTTAAAACCCTTAAAAGTTATTATTGAAAATGGCTATTTTGAATAATTATTCCCAAGAAAGCTATGTTTTATAGCAAGACTAAGAACACAATGATGATTAAGTTCTGAGCTCAGTTTGAAAGACTGAATGTATAAATATATTGCGCTAAAATCAGTACTACATAAACATTAAGCTTGGCAGTGCATACCGTTTATATGCTTTTAACTATAAGCATCTGCATTGAGGTCAAGATGGTCGTACTTGCTAATAAGAAATAATTTTACGCTTCACAACAGTTTGAAGTATTCCTACAATTTGCCTCATGCTTTTGACCAACAGCAGCAACTGATACCTACTCTGCCAGGTAGGGATTAAGACTATGCTTTACTAATGAGACATATTCTCTATGATGACAAACTGTGTAAGACTTGAATTGCCTTGTAAGTATGCAGGTAGAGGGCCTAGCAGCAGGTGGCTATACAGGTCCCCCTTCGCTAGGCCTCTTTTGCTGTGTCACTAGCAACCTAGCACCACTGTTGACCTCTTTTCCCTGCCAACATCCTCAGGATCTCTTTGATACCTCAACAACTCCAGCGTTACCTCACAAGCTGACATATCTTCCTCCTTCTGCCTTTTTCCTTCAAGCTCTTGTATAACTCAACAGGGAGCCATGCTCCTCTCTTCCCACTAATCCCCATCTACATTTCTCTGGACTCCTCCCTCACACAGAAGATTTAGTACAACTGGGTTACATCTAACAAAGTTATAAGGAGTTAGAAATTGCATCTTACAAACTAGAAGGGGATGATAATTGTGAGAGGCACCACATATGCATATTCTACT